TGAATTTTGTCGTTTTTTTTTTGATTTCTAGGGTTTTTTATGAACTTCCAGGAGCATCAGTAGTTACGCTAAGGCAATTTGGAAGATTAAGTCTTTTGAGATCGCTAGCTAAGAGTTTCCCAAAAAATGATAAAATCTCAAGAAAATTCAAAGTGTTCTTCATGTGTGACATGCCCATAACTTCAACATTCACATTTTGTAAATGAGCAAAAATTTTTTTGAGGAAGTAATGACATTTTGCTCTTTTGGGTGTACTAAAACTTATGCAGCATCCTGATATATAATTAAAGAAGATTTATTCCACCAAAGAAGTAAACATCCATAATTTTACTCATGTACGAAAAGTGTTTCCAAAGATTACGCATTAATTACTCTTACTGATTTAGATTCCCAATCCTCTTACATCTCTCTCCCTCCATTCGACAAAGTCGCAGTGTTCTGCTGTATATTTGCGAAAATGGTACAAATGTTTATTTACGCAAACATGGAAACGTAAGTTCGATAGACTCGACACCGTTAAATATCGATCAATAATCGATCTGAATTTTCAGTATTGGCTCAATGTACACTCAACAGATGTTCAATTTGACTAGGACAGAAACCACTGAGTTTAACTCTGTTCTTGTCTCCTTATCAGGTTTCATAGGATTCGCATTTCTGCTTACTTATGTTTGGACAAAAGTAGGAAAACGGTAAGTGTACTTCTCTAGGCGCCAATGCTGATCGATAATCGATTTTTTCCTAGGGTTGACAATCGTGTTGGAGCTTTGGCGGGTGTGTTAATCTGCGTTGCGTTTTTGTTCACTACTTATTCGTGGCCATTCTACAGTGGAAACATTGAAAGTGATGGTGAGTACTAGTAACACGCTTTCAACTAGTAAATTCAATACAAACAGTAATTTTACGATTATTTTTAAGTTAATTTTTTATTATTTTAGAGTGTCACTCGCCATGGTGCGCACACACTCCGGGAATATCGTGGGTACTTTATGCCGTCTCCTACGTCACAGTTTTCGGCATTGGATTTGCTCTTCTAAATGTTCATCTAGCGGCAATGTACGCAGGGGTGAGTCAAGAATAATTTGGAAAAATGTATAGGTCATTTTTGGAATCGTGACGACGAGTTTGACTGCGGTATGCGCACACAAGA